AATTTCTCTATTAGGATCACAGGAGTTTAGTTGACAGTCCAGTGATATAATTTCGCTACGTTGCTCGATGTTTGTTTACATTAAAATATGGTGTGTTACATATTTAAATAATAAAATGAACTTTCTAACCATTTTCTGATTTAAGGAAGTGTTCACGGTAGACTTTATTTATATTAATTCAAAATGTTTATCTTATACTAACTACAAATTTACCTATAAATTATTGTACCGGTGTCGAAAGTCGTCAATAAAGACATTTAAATAAAACCCCTGACAACTTTATTAAATAAAACTTGGCGAAAACACAATTTGTTATTATGATTTTGTTTCGAGGCTAGAATGGAAGTAGAATTTCAAATGAATGAATAATAAAATGTTCTACAAAACACTATTATTATATAAGTAAAATTGACATCACGATATTTTTATGTTAAAAATATACCTTCATACATACATTTGTCATTTTAGATTACATGGTTTGTAATTTACTTAATTTCAAAAGAGTTTCAAAACATTTTTAATTTCTGTTTTTTTAATAATAATAATAATATTCTTTATTGACATACACCTCACAGGACATACGAGACATTAAACATGACAGTGAAAACGTAGACAATAGGCGGCCTTATTGCTAAACAGCAATCTCTTCCAGGCAACCCATGACAGTGAAATAAATAAATAAGAGGAACAAGAAGGGGGGTTGTAACAGGTGTGGTAAAATAAATAATGAATAATAGATGCAATAGATATATCCAAACAGAGAGACAAGAGAAAGGTAAGATTTAAAGTTGGGAAAGGAAATACCCTCTAACTTGATCACTAAACGAGCTTAGAGTGCGAGCCTTTCGGATTGTTTCAGGTAGTGAGTTCCACAAACGAACAGAATGCACAGAGAAGGAATATGAAAAGAAATCAGTTGAATGGAGTGGGACTGCAAGGGTTAGATTTAAAGAGGACCGCAAAGTGCGTTCTGATTTGGAATCAAGAAACGAGAAACATTCTTTTAGATAGGGCGGAGAAGTAGGAAAAGTACAGAATAGAGAACCGTAAAAGTGTGTTTTAAATTATTTTGAAATTATTTTTTGTCAATTAGGTGGCGTTAATCTGGGAAATTATTACTAGCATTAAAACGCATATGAAATTAATATACATTTTCAAAGAACAGGCCTAGTTTTTTGCTGGAATTATATTATAACTTATGGAGTAACCTTATCGCCTTACAGAAAAGAACCAATAAAATAACAATGCCATTATGATAGTGCTGTGTTTCTGTCGGTAAATAAGATTCCAGGACTCCTCTGGTTTTTCCAATTCCAAGGTTAACTTAAGTAATTATAAACAAATAAAAATCTCGTTGCCATTACCGAATGTTGTACAGATCTTAAATAGACCATTCAAAAGAATAATGTTAGGTACGCATCTTGATCAAACAGAGAATGTTTTTCTTTGAAAAAGATTTCACCATGATGGCGATGATGTGATGTGATTTATATAGCGGAACTATATCTTACAGACTATCGATGCAAGGGGAGCTTTCAATCTCTCGGGTCCTGCGAAATAGAGTTATTGTCGTAGTCAGGAGATGGAAGAGATCGGTTTATTATCGACACGGCATAAAATTGCCGAGATATTTCCACTAACAAATTTTTTTGCACTACAATCTTTGGGTTTATGGATAGCCTTTTTTCGGGTACGTTTATATGTTTATTGTGTCTATCTGATACTTGAAATTACAACTGAATTAATTTCTTATCAAATATTATTTTAGGATACGAGACATATTTAACGACACGGCGTGAAAGCGCCGGAAATTTCCTATCATCACAATTTTTAGGGTTCCGTAGTCCTGATAAGGAACTCTTATAGTTTCGTCATGTCCATCTATCCGTATCCGATTTTGCTTGGAGACTATAAGTACTAGAGAGCTGTTATTTTGTGGAGATATGTATATCAATTACGCAGATAAAATGGCAGTGTAAAATTTTGAAAAAAGTTTTTTTGGGTAGAGTAGCTCCCCTACGTAACCTGGGGATTTTTTTTCATCATCTACACCATCGTGTGTAGTTTAATAGGTCCTTTAAAATTACTTAGGGGTTTTTATGACTATTTTTCGATTAAAGGATCTGTTTGCGAAATATTGAACTTTAAAGTGCTAATTTTTGTTCGAGTAGGGCGTTCCCTCACTCTTAAAGCTTAAACTATTGCCTTGAAAAACCTGGAAACAATTAATGATAATAGTGCTTTTCATGAACTTCTAAGGAAAACTATAACGGTTAAGGTATATTTGTTAGTTTAAGAGTAATGGTCGTTCAACTTTGGTTAAAGAAAATTTCTTACCTATTGAAAATTCCTTAGAAGAAAACATTAATAGTTGCATGGATGAAGTTAATGTAGCGTAAAACCCGGCATTGCAACAAAATCTTAAAACAAGAAACTATTTTAAAACCACAATAAAATATAATTTGTTCCACAATGCTGCCGCTACGTTACATTACGTCTTTATAATAATTAGTGGTTATACCACATCATCCCTTTCTCAGGGGATGATCGCTTCAGGTGAAGCTTTTAGTCAGTAAGAGTCTGACATAACCTTGCAGTCGGCTCTATGGTATCCATGAGAGTGTCAAACCCGTTCCCCCCGCCTGTGAGGAAACAAAAAAAAAGGCAGTTATTATTCGTATTTTCAAAAATAATAATATCTAATTGATTTTGAGTTTGAGACGCAGTTTGACTTTGATTTAGGTATTTTAGTTGAGATACATAGATTGATATTAATTGGATTTTATGATTTCTAATAAAGCAAAATAAAAACTCCTGCTCAGATATATTGTGGAAACTACAGGCAACTACGGAACCCTTCACTACGCGTGGCACGACACGCACTTGGCCGGTTTTCTTATAATACCATCAATCTGTATTTCCTTACAAAGGTTTATGGAATGTCATTATTGGGTTATGTCGATCGAATGTCGGTTTGATGCTTGCACTTTCTTATTCAAGAGAATTCTGAAGAAAAGTTGAATGATTTTGTTGAGGTGTGATAGCATATTTTAATTGTACTAATATTATAAATGTGAAAGAGTGTATGTTTGTTACTCAGTCACGTAAAAGCAGCTGAACGTATGTGCATGAGCTAAAAGAGATCTTTTTTATCCCAGGCTTTTTATTCAACTGGGCCTAGGTATCATGATTGAATCGAACCAATGTCCTTTGATATCCTTAGGAACGCCGTCTGGAATGTTGCTCTATGATGAATGAATACCTTTCTGAAATCCATTTAACGTGATTTGAGTTAAAGATTAAAAAAATTGAGGTCGTAAAAAATTATAGGTATTAAGAAAAAAGTCTTTTCGCGTTATAGTATGTATGAACTTGTTATAAAACCTCTTTGGCTATACCATTTGTATCTGTCTGGTTTTCATATCATTCAAAACTTTAAGTTTTAAAGAAGATAATTTCAAATTTAAATTAGGAAAATGTGTGATTTTCATTTGTTTTTCTTACTGTTAAGATGAGTGAATCTAATGAGGAAGTTCAATAAATTTTAAAATTGTACTACAAAAAAAGTTTAAATGCAAAGCAAGCCGCGCAAAAAAAATTAGATGTTTATGGACACAGTGTAGGGTCTGTGAGAGTAGCACAAATTTGGTTTAAGCGTTTTCAAACCAGAATTTTTTAAGTCAAAGATGCACGTCGCTCTGGTCGCCCTGTTACGAATAAAATGGATGCCAGTTTTGAAAAAGTGTCAGGTTAACATCACAAGAGCCCTGACGAAAACCACTTGTCGCGGTTTTTTTATCAGAAGCCCAAAAATTTCTATAACCATGGGATCATGTCTCTACCCACAAGATGACAAAAATTTATAGAACAAAATAGTACCTAGATAGTTTAGTTAAGTGTAAATAAAGTTTATTAAATATTTTGAATATTTATATAAAATGCGAAGAAACTTTTTCCCGAACCTAATATAAAACGGACTTCTTCGTTTCGTTACTACGAAAACACGAGAGTGCTTACCTGAGAGATAAATTATAATAATCACGGCTTATTTTTAGTATAACATTCAATATTTATGAGACTGCTATATTATATTAAGGCTAAGAGCTACCTGCCCAAGTACTTATTTATAAATTAATAAAATAAAGTCTTCTTGTTTCAATTTGAAATCTTACAAACGGAAACCTTAATAAGATCATTATTCGCTGTGTTAGTTACTTCTGAATTGTATACACAGTTGCTGGGTCCTCCAAATTAAATCAAATTTACTGAATACTTAGCCCTAATTAGCAAATCAGGATGTTTAAATAATATAGTCTCTGTGACTTGACTTATAAATCTGTGGAAAAGATTTTTTATTTCTGTTTTCAGGCATACACCGAATATTTACAGAAACACGTTCGGACCTTGGTCTCACAAAACTTTATGAGCTCTATCACTCGCTAAAGAAATGGTATTACGATTTTTTTTATTTTCACAGATAACAAACTTAATCCAGAATATGGAAGAAGAGCAAGAACGAAAAGGAAGAATAATTCAACTATAGACTTGCTTTAAAAATATTATAGACCTAGCGGCCGCCCGTGACTTCGTCCGCATTAACTTTGGTTTTTTTGGCAAACTTACAAGAACCTAACATTTTTCCGGGATAATAAGTATCCTACGTCTCAATCCAGGTAATAAACTATATGCTTGCGAAATTTCATTCAAATCCAGTTGTTTTTGCGTGATTGAATAACAAACATACAAACTTTCATATTTACCTATAAAACTTATTAGTAGGTCTGTGATGAACCTAGGAATCCCGTCAAACTAAAGGCAGACTTGCGCAAGGTAAAACATGAGCGGTGACCGTGTCATAGATATTTACATAATTATTTATGTATATGTAAATATTTATCCGATGTTCAAATCGCAGTGGTACGGGCAATACTTACTTAGAACCGAATAACAAGCGTGAAAATCGCAATAATAACTTACTATAGTTTACAAACCGAGTATATTCAAAAACATGCTGGATTGGAAAAAAGATACCTATTATTAATCTAAAAAGGCCGTGGTAGAGTGGTCTGTTCTATTATAGGCAATTATCCTCATATCATCATAATGGCATGTGCAGACGAGGGACTTTTCCAAGTCCCTGTATCGTGAAAAATAAGTCCGCCGAGAACTTGTCACGGACTAAATGGACACGGAGTGTGAAGATTTGTTGCCCAAATTTTTTGAGAAGCGCACTCACGCTATGCAAGTAAATATTCTCAGATTACGTTGTGTTGTCATTTATTTCATATTCTATGAAGCCTTCTCTTTTTTCTTAAACTTCATATTTTAAAAGACATTTAAACTTACACATTTGAAGAAGAATATTGGGTCCATCATTTTGAATCGTATAGAGCACGCAACGCCGTCAATACGTACGTATTGCTGCGCTGCGCCTAGTCACATGAGTTAAATTTATTTTTCGGGGACTCCCGTGTACCTTTAAAGTATCCGGTCTCACGGTGTCCACGGTTGTATGGGGGACTTTTTTAACGCGGGACTTTTTATTCCTCGTGTGCGTCCAGTTGGAAGAGATCAATAAACGCGGACAAAAAAGTCCGCGGGCAAAAGTCCCTCGTCTGCGGAGGACCTAATAAATTACACAAAATTTAAAGTGCATCTGGACTGGGATAATTAGTGTAAGTGTGAGAAAAATGTATTTCTTTTTATTTATACTTTAACCTTTATGGCATGTACTTTAAATTCGCCAGTATAACATGTCTATTTTAAAATGTAAACATGTCTGCTAGAAGTTGGGCGGATATGTAGGTACTGTAGGATTCTCCAGATGGGAGAACCTGGGGAACATAGCTCAAAAATACTAAAATATGAACACTTAGGACTCTTAACTAGGTTTATTTGAATTCAGGAAAATATAAAATACAATGAAATACGAGTATATACAACCGATCGAGTCTGTGCCTGAATTCAATCTCTGAAATCTTCGATGTGGGACAGAAGGTTCTTACATTCGATTTTTTTAAATAATGACATAATACTTTTAATACACCTGCCAGCCGTAGGCATTATAATAAGCAAAGAGTTTAAACAAGCAAGAAGGCCGTAACGCTACGGGCGTTACAGTACCTATAGCTGAATATTCGTCCTTGGAACTAGGTAATCCTTTGGCAATCAAAGTGGTTGTTTTGATTTAACTATACCCATGAGCGTTTAATCCACATGTTTGTGTCATGGTTGAAACACGTGATAGAAACCTAGTGAGTAGTTCGCCGATGACTTCACCGCGAAAGATAAAAGTATAAGAAACAATATAAACTTATAATCCAAGATTCCAAGGCCGCAAGGCAGACCTTAATTATGTTCTGATGGACAAAGGATGGATAATCGAGTAGTATTAGTAAGTGCAATGAACGTATACATACGTACGTACGTAAAAAATACTCACTTACAAGAATATTGTAAACAATTTGAAGTTAATACTGGCAGACATCTTCTATTGCCAGTATTTATTGCCAAACACAACTTTACATATTTTCTGCAATAGTTTTGGTAATTGCACAACAATAAATTATTTAGTTATTGTTAAAGGTTTCCTTCACACTATTAACAAGATAACTTTAATAAACCTGTATTAAAAGATACTTAATTACCATGATTACGAACCCATTCTCAGTGGCATTTTAAATAAGCTTTGGGAATTTTTGGTCAATAAGATTGGTCTGGCAGCTTACAAAATATAATAATGGCCCCCCTAATTTTCATAGATAAATATCGGGTCTGAAATTGTAAGTTTGTGCTTTTTGCTTTCAACATTTTAAATGTCTGGAAATAGCTACTGCTAACAGAATGTGTCTGGCAGTATTCATTTCAAATTATTAACAATATTCTTTTCCACATAAGTAATAATAATTCCTAAGACTGTATGTAAAGTGAGTAAAATTTTTACATACCTGTGCCACCTTGGTATACGCTCAAGGTGCCACCCGATATCTGAAAATTGATTCAATTCAGCGAGTATGATACGTTCGTTGTGCACACTAATACTAAGTACTAATTCGACAATCGATATTTTGTCCATCAGAAAGTTAGTCACTATCACATCACCTTTTTAATTTTTTTTTTCTCGTGGGGGAAATCCCTGAGGCATAGCCGCTCACTGAAAACTGGTGATCGGGTTATATCGGGCTGTCCCCTGCCTACCCACTAGACGATATTAGCTTTCCCGTAGTCGGTAGGCAAGAGCCGACCGAAACCCCCACGTGCCCCGTCAACTCTGGCAGTAGGCATCGCTATTGGACCGAAACACACACATAGCTAGCCGGAGCCAGTTGTCTGCCACGTGAGGCAGACCTACCTCTGGAAAGGGAGCAATGTTGCACCCGCCCCAATCGCGTCGATAATGCACCGCGGAAACTATGACAACACTAACTTAACCTAGTGTGAACCTAAAAACTCAAGAATATCTATAATTAATAAGCTAATGATTCTTTTTGCAACCTTACTGATGCAATTCGTATTTTCTTAAAAAACCTTTGTTTGTTCGGTAAGATTAGAAAAGTCATCGTCATTTCCTAATTGTCTGAGTTTAAAAAACCTAAGATTTCCGATAAAATTCTTTTGATCAAATCATCCTGCGGATTATATATCGTTTATTACCTAGATTTTATCCCGGAAAAATAAATATGTTCTAACTAAACTGACAATAACGTGTCCTAAGTCACTTTTTTTTAGTGTGTATGCTGTTGGTCGTAGATGACCTTTACAGCGTCACCGGGTTTGGAGAAGGCGAGATCCAAGGGGACCTCGAGCCGAGAATTGGCGAGTGCCTCTAGAGGTATTCCAGGCGGATGGCATCTCCCCACGGGGGGTCTCCTCTCCATCTGGAGCCTCTAGACCACTCGAACCGGGGGTCGGCTCAACTAGAGGGTGTCTCTGAGATTCGCACCTCGGCTCTAGTTAGCCGTTGTCTTGAGGGTCGGGACTAAATCACGGATTTTTGATATCCTTAAATAAGTATAAAGAGAGGCGAACTCACCTGGATCAGGAAGCAGCTTGCCTTTCAACTCCACGTCGCCCTCGGCGGAGGTGGCGCCATAGTTCTTATAAGTTTTGTTCGGCTCCTCAAACTTCGTCACCTTAAACCTTTCCGACATGGTCACGACTCACAACACTTATATGGCACTTAGAGTGACACTCGACACCACTTGCAACACTTTGCTTGCACTATGACACAAGTGTAGGTACACACACTAGCGAATAAGTTGCACTTTTACAGATATGTACAGAGATATGTTTTGATTTTAACACTTTAGTTGTCACTTATATAACTAAACCTCCACTAAGATTATGTCATTGGATATCAATCACTTTTTTATAAAGTCAACAGTAAAAATATTCATTCCGTTAGATATGGTAACAGGATATGTTTGGTATTTGCCCAATTTAGAATGAGGGTCACTGGAGAATAACTGAAAAGGTCACTAAGATTTTTTTAGATCTTCGATTGTTTTGTCTTAGTCCTGTGTTGCCAAAATTTTATTTTAAGAGTGCCGTAACTTGTGTACTTTTTATCGGTTTTTGTGGTCAGGTAGATCATTTTTTTTAACACACACCAATTAGCCTAGCCCCAAAGTAAGCACTGTAAGGCTTGTGTTATGGGATACTAGGGTAACAGATAGAATACATATTTAAGTATATCTATATAGAAATACATACTAAACATGTACTGGTTGACTGGAGTACAAAGGCTCGTATTCATCACACAAATATCTGCCCCCATCGGGATTCGAACCCGGGGGACCTCTCGAGTCGGCGACACCATGAAACTTGGCATATGAACCACTCGGCCGCGGGGATCGTCGAAATGATTTGTTGCACTCTATGATTTAGTAATTTGGTATACTTTTATCTTCTGAAGCGATTCGGCAACGTGTCTTAATATTTTGCCATCTGAACTGGCACTAATATGCGCGGGAAACATCTATTTTGTTTCACCTTTTTGTTATTATCCGTGATTTATCTATAGCAACGAGTAAGTATCTGATAACACCTAATGGACTGGTTGTTTTTGTGTTGAATGAAAGAGTAAAAGCTCGTTTGATAAATGGCATATGAGATGAGATTGGTTAGGTGTCATTTTTTTGCAATTCATATGGTCGGAAACTGAATGACTCTTTTTTTTAATAAATTTTTTAAGCTTTTTGTTTAGTCATAATTTTTATATCATTTACATTTGCAATGGAAAGTGACTTTATGAGTTATCTCATATTGAAGTAATTTTTCAATTTGACGACTCTGTATATAATACAGGTAGAAAAAAACAGTCTTTGCTAAGTTTCTTGCCTTAGATTAGTGAACCGATGCAGGATGGCGTAGCTTTTCGACATTCACAAGTCCTTGTAACAGCCTAAACTGAATAAACGATTTTGAATTTGAATAGTATTACTAAAAAATATAACAGAAAAAGAAATAGGTATATTAAAACTTTGTTTCTTAGATTTTCACGCACTTCACTCATTAAATAAAACAAGTCTATTTATTTATGACGTTTCGCAGCCTTTGCAGGAATGCGTCGTCAGTTTAATGTTATTTTTTTTATATACTTTGTCGAGCTTCCTGTGAAAGACTTTTATTTGTCTCCCACAGCGTTAGATATCAGGTGGTTTACTTATATAATTGTTTACCCAACTATCTGAAATCAATTGTACAAATTAATTCATTTCGAAATCGTTTGAAAACCTTCTTGTTGGAAAAATGTTTTTATAGTGTTGAGGAATTTGTTACACATAAGTAGGTTATAAGTTTGACATCTTGATTTTACGTTTTTAAAATTATAATTATTTATACAAATAGATTTTTTATTATTGACATTGATATTTTTAGTCAGATTATTATTGTATTTTTTTATCATATTAATTTATTTACGTAAGTGCAATATTCCAATATTCTCATAACTCAATTATGCAATGTTATCAATTTTTTTTTATATTATTGACATTTATATTTTTAGTTATTGGTCAGATGTTCTGTTTTTTATCATTTTTTTTAAGAATGTGCAAAAATTTATAATTTTATCTTAAGTACTTCCAACACAATGCAATATTGTTAAGGAATAAATAAATAAAAAAAATGCGTTCGGATATTTGATTGGAAAAAATAAATAAATATTTCCAACAATCACACCAATTAGCCTAGCCCCAAAGTAAGCACTGTAAGGCTTGTGTTATGGGATGCTAGGGTAACGGATAGAATACTTAAACTGTACATATATAAGTATATTTATATAGAAAAACATATTAAACATCCATGACTGGAGTACAAATGCTCGTATTCATCATACAAACATCTGCCCCCACCGGGACTCGAACCCGGGACCTCTCGAGTCGGCGACACCATGAAACCCGGCGTACAAACCACTCGGCCACGGAGGTCGTCGTCGGAAGATTTAAATAAAATCTATCGCGTTTGTATCTATCAAGAAAGAAAACTCGTATGTTCAGCATATTTCGTTTGCGATTATTACATTTATTTTTAAATTCTGGAAAAAGTCATAGACAACCTTTTGATAGACTCGCCAAAGGGAAACCACTCACGAAGATTCAATTATATAAGTAGGTATGCATTATTCATTAGAACTTCTATGCAGGCTCTCGGATTTGAAGTAAGTAAAAAAAAATCTAATAAAACCTTCATCTACATTACAGACAGACTACAGAGACATGATTTTTTAAGTTTGACTAAAGTTTATGCTGTCACTTTCAGAGAAAGAGATAAGAAATCTTTCAATAAAACAAACTTTATTAATATTTTTTCCATGGATTAGGTACAAATGCACATCGAAGCAAATCGCCATGGATTCCGAGAACTTGTAGCTTTTTCAACAAGATCACGTGATCTACATGATCGAACGCCTTCTCAACCTTACATCTCAGCCGACCTTGTTATTTATTAACTTGTTAAAGGATTTGTAAAAGAAGTTTTACGAACAAATGCCGTGGTCTCATCATATTGCAGTGACCGCGCCAGTCGTATAAAAATGCAGCACAATTTACCTAAATTACTAACTGCGGTACAGTAATTCGCTTTCACGTGCTCTTTTACTGGAAAAGGCTGGCTTTATTTAAAACACAATTATATAACTTTTAACAAATTACGACTGGGCCGTAATATTCTTTGTTTAAAATTTTAATAATGCTTTTGGTATAAATCATGATACAATTAAAAACTAGGTTGTACTATCCAAAAGTTAGTTAAACACAGTAAGTACTTATACCTAATGAAATTCCCGTTAATGCCTTATTAGCTTAACAATATTCGTAAGTTTTTAATTTAACTGTCACCTGGCTGAGATATAACTTCCAGATATAATTAGTCTGACAGAATTAGGTACTATAAATATTAATCTAGTAGGTAGACATTCGAGTAAGGAATTTTGTTTTGTATATTATTATATCAGTAGCTATAAAACTTTTTGGCGTATTAAACTTGCTTTCAAATAGTAAATATGTATATATATGAAAACATACAAATAAATGGAAACGAAAAAAAAGGTGAAATTAAGACAAAAATATACACATTTGTGAATTTATTCATCAATAGATAAGAGCTTGTGAAAATCAAGTTAATTACAAAAAAAGTTAGTTATGCGTTCAACAAGAGTTTAAGAAAAAATGTCATACCAAATTTTCTTTATAGATGTTTAAAACCACATGAAACATGTGTTTAAAACTCTGTCTAACATTTTTTAGTAACACAAAACAAAAAAATCGAACAGAAGAAATAAGGGCTGCTTTTTAATTAAATTATACACAACCGTAACTAGATAGAGATTAGTACCGTTGAAATTTTCCAAGAAACACCACGGGGTTTAGTATTACTGGCATTCTGACTGACCATTACTAATATACTAGTTCAACAATAGTAATGAACGTGTCAATATTAAAGTAGAGCTTATTGACAGTCTATTAAAACTCGTTTCAATTGGTGAGTACGGCTTCAATACAGTATGCAGTGAGGATATAATGTATTGTAGTAGAGGAAGGGTCACGGTCGCACGTTGGTAACTGCCAATAGGACTGAATAATATTTATTGACGGAAGTATACTCACGGCAGTTGAAACACTTGCAATACGGAATAGCCATTATCATGCTATTTAATAAAGGGGATGTTGATGCAAATAGAAGTTTAACGTAAGAAAAATACAGTTTTATTTATAACCAATAAACTAATATTTTACCGTAGCTAGGCAATTTGATATAATAAGGCTGTTCTAATCCACTTCGATCGTCTATCGTGTAAACTGTATTCATTAATATAGGCATATTTCTTTTTTTCCTTAAAAAAACCCGTGAAGTTAATGACTTTGTTATTATTTGCTTTAGTGACGACACCAACCCAACAGCTGTGTTAATATTACTTTCAAATGTTTCGTTTGTTACTAAGTTGTTCAGTCACGATTTTAAGACTATTAATAAAACAACTAATAATAAATGAAACTTGAAATATATTTACATATATTGATATCCATTTCCAATTTCATTTTATTTACTCACCGCAATTAATTGAAATGTCAATCAGAATTCTTTGTTCAAAATGATTTTATTATAAACTCTTTAGAAATGTGCTAAACATATTTCATACCAGCCAATCAGGATTTCTTTTTGAACAATAACATTGAAGACAAGTAGTTCGTGATAGCTACCTACATAGTAAAAATTACATTATTGTTAAAACACATGTGGAAAGAAAGAGACAAACGATTAAATAAAATGGAGAAGTCAGACCCATTAAACCAAGACTCGTTACTGAGCAGGACTTCTCGCTCTACCATCTTTTGGGAAATCAAAAGTTTTCATACCGCGGAGATTTCAGGAACATTTCAACACAAAGGAAAAATGCTACAGCAACTTGCACCAAAGTTTATAAATAATTTAAAAACCAAATCATATTTTAACCTCGTTGTTCTATCATACTTTAATAATTTGACAAAGGTGACATTGGCAAAGCCTCATGGTAAACGGCCACCATAGCCTACAGGCGCTTGCGATAAAAAAAAATATCACACGCGCGGTTGCATACCCTGACCCATCCCCTACCCCGTGGAGCCCTGAAACCTTGCTGTGGTCATCTGTAAGGTGTGGTGAAGTGTAAATC